TGCTGGCGAAACGTTAGGAAACAAAACTTGCAGAACACGGCCACACAGTCCAGAAGACCCACACCAGCCATCGTATTCCGGCCGTGAAAGCCTTCGACAATACACTGTGGACTGTATTTGTCCAATCAGCATAAGCCTAGGGGAGATGACATCACCAGCGGAATTACGTCACTATCGGTTTCCGGGCTACGGGAGTGGAGGCCTGTCCTCGTGTTCCGTTCTGCCATTTCTTCTGCTTGCCAGCTCTTTTATGGTTATGGCGGTCCGGGCGAGCTTCGAGAACAACAACGAGATCGGCTGTTTCGCGAAGCTCACCAACGCCTACTGTCTGGTGGCCATTGGAGGCTCCGAGGGCTTCTACAGGTGATTAGAGAAGCCGGGCTTGCTTTCTCTTCCTCTCCTCGGGAGTCTCTTTGAAAGCTGATCGCTTCCTGGATCCTGGCCCAGGTTTGCTTTAGTCATCCGACAGGCAATGAAGAGGCCGCGCCTTGATTTTTCCGGATCAGGGCCCTTCTCTGCTCCACTGCAGCAGCTTCCTTGGGTTGTAGTTTGCCATTAAAGAATAAGTGGGAAAGGCTGCAGGGCTCTTCCTTTATACTGAAAGAACACGACTGGGCCTTATTTCGTTCTGCTGATTATTGCTTTAAGCGTACTTTGAGATAGGTTGGGTTGGGCAAAACCAAGCAGACAAAAATGACCCAGTGACATCCATGGCCGAGTGGAGACTTCAATGTGGGAGCCCCCAATACCACTCCAGTACTGACTTCTATATCAGGGATCAGCACCTGTGAAGGTCTGCTCTTTTACTCATCCTATACTGGATACGTTCATTAAGTCACAAGATGGCAGTAAGACTATTCCTCTGCAAGTTATTCCTTTACTAAACTTTTTGGGAATGTAGCTCTTCAAGCATGTTTGAATTGAACTGAAGTTCATGATCTTCCTTGCATGTTTAAATCTTATTGTTGTGTTTAGTGTCTTCGAAGGGGAGCTTTCTGACACCATTCCTGTAATTCATGCTTCTATTGCTGGATGTCGCATCATTGGCAGAATGTGTGTGGGTGAGCTGCGTTCTTCATATAGATTATTTGAGTTTCCCTTAAAATGCAAAATTCTTATCTCATTTTAGCCTTAACTTATTTGATAAGTAATTTTTATTTTTATCTGTGCTTTTTGTAATATTTCAGAGAAGGAAGGCAAGCTGTTATTGCACCCTTCAGTTATAAAGTCTAAATGTACTGCTGAGTACAATACATTTTTATTCTGATAGCTTTTGAGTGAGATCATTAAAAAATGTTTAAAAGTTAAAAGTTTTTGTTTACAATTTAGTAAAGATACCAGGCTCCAGAATTGAAACACTAACATTAACACTACGGGGTTGTATTTGTCAAAGTTTTATGTTAAGGGAAATCCATTCATATAATTTGGATTTAGCCTATGAGCTCTTCATTGTGTCACTTGCTACAGTTTCAGGAAGATGGAGGAGCTGCCTACCTAAGTGCCTATAAAGACAAAGTATGGAGGATGAGGGGGTTTGTTTCCTCATAACTGCCATATTTATTTTCAAAATCTTACATTAATCTATTGTAAGATTAAAAGATTTTCAAAATCTTATATTAATAATTGAAATAATATGTTCTTTTGTAATGTAGTAAAACCAATGAAATCCATTTATTATTATTTATTTAAATTTATTATGGTTGCCCACTCCCATTTACTAACTTGTTAGACAGCTATGATACTTTTATTAAATTGAATTTTATTCCTGAAGGTAGTAGTGGAATTGGAAGAGGTGACTAGGTAGGCAGAGTGTTGCCATTTTTCTATAATATATGCTTGTATTTGTGTTGTGGATGTATTTTGGTAGGAAACCAAGTCTGTGGCAGTACTGTAAACCGTCATAGGTCAGATACTTTTAAAGAACATTGAATTAGATTCATTGTTTCTTATTTCTGGTCCTGGGTCATTGTTTTATGGCATAGAATTTGGGGGGCAGGAATTGAAGGCAATTTTTTCTATACTTTTAGGTAACAGGCATGGGTTATTAGTCCCAAACAATACTACAGACCAGGAACTTCAGCATATCCGAAACTGCCTTCCTGACTCAGTGCGAATCCAGAGGGTGGAAGAACGTCTTTCTGCTTTGGGCAATGTCACTGCATGCAACGACTACGTAGCACTTGCCCACCCAGACATTGACAGAGTAAATGTCAAAATCTGAATCTTTTAATACTAAACATGCTGTTTGCACTAACTAATCTTTAGCAAAAGTTTACCAAACATTTTTTATTCAACATTTGCTATACAAGTAGTCCTTACTTAACGACCATTCATCCAGCGACCGTTCAAAGTTACGATGGCGCTGAATGAATGGTAGTTACAACCGGTCCTTGAAGTTCTGGCCATTGCAGCGCCCCCATGGTCATATGATCAAAAGTTGGGCACTTGGCGACCAGCCCACATTTACAACCGTTACAGTGTCCCATAGTCACATTTTCCTGCCCTGCGTGAACTGCCTCTGCTTCAACTCACCCCACCCCCCTATCTACCCCTCCATCTTGGCCAACCTGCACTCCACCTCCTACCCCTGCCATCCCCTGCCCCCAGCTGACCTTTGCCATCTTCTTCCTCCCACTTCTGGCCCAGGATCCACATGCTGGCTGAGGGCGCGGTCCTGAGCTGTGTGTGGTGAGCGCAGCTGGGCGATAGAGCCTTGTCTGTGGAAGGGAGCTTGCCAGGTCTCGCCAGGGAGGAGGCAGCAAGATGGAGTCAGCGGAGGAGGCAGGGCAGCAATGCAGGCAGAGGAGCCACGTCTTCTGCTGCCAGCATGAGGAGTAATAACCCGCAGAACGCAGCAGGACAGGACAGCAAGGTGCAGCACGCTCCATTGCCAGGCAAGGCAGGAGGGGCAGCAGCTCCCCAGATGAAGGTGGTGGCTGTGCGGGAGGTGCTGTTTGGGGTGGCAGCAGAACTGGAGGAAGTGAAGGGACAAGGGTTTCAAAGAGGTGCAGTGCATGCTCTGCAGCTCACATTGGAAGCACTTCTGAAGAATTGACTGGGGGAGGCCCAGTCAATTATCTTTGAAGCTGCTCCTTCAGGAGGAAGGGTGCACCTGGCTGGGGCAGCTGCTGACCCTTCACAAGGCCTTACAGGGGGAAGACTGGGCTGAGCAAGCAGAGTGCCTGTGGGTAGTGTCTGTCAGCACTGGGCTTACCCCTCACTGAAGCCTGCAGGCCCTCTGCTGAATCAACCTCACTTCCAGCGTGAGCTGCAGAAGACTAATTATGTTGAGGTGACCCACTAGGAAGCACAAAGGCAAGCCCTGCACACACACTCTATCCCCAGGCACCTGGTATACTAACCATGCAGATAAACAGCTTTGCTGTAAGGTTTGAGGTGTGAAGTCACAGAAAAGCTTGAAAGAACATGAATAAAAGAATAGGGAAATAAAAAGTGAGGAAAATGGACAGCATAGTAATGTCCTTATCAGCCTTTTCTGTCTTGTTTTCACTGACATGTCCTGTTGGTTACTATCTCAGTCATTATTTATGTGATCACATCTCATAATTACTTGATCTTTGAATTATAACACATTAGACATTAGGAGTATGCAATGAATATAAAATAGTCAAATGTAAACACATCTGCCCTTGTGGACAAGTCACTATGTATGGTGGCTTATTATGTAGGAAATCCTTTTTGGAGAAGTGATCATATTCTTCAGGTTAGTGACTTTGTTCCTAATTCTCTGGTATACCTGAACTGGAAGGGTGTGATTGGAGGTTGTATCCATTGTTAGGTTACTGAAAAAAATACAGCTGGAAGCTTGCACAAGTAGAACAACTAGTGAAAGCATAACTGATCCTGATAATGGAATAGCTTGTGTGAGCAGAATCAAACTTTTGGATTTGGTATTTGAGTTAGAATGAAAATGGGTTGTACAAGTAATTGAAGAGTGACGACATTGGGTGCAGTCCTAGAAATATAATTAAACTGATAGAATAAAACCAGGAAATATGGCAGTTACTTAAATTTTATTTAAGTTAGGGACTTCCTAGAAGTGCTTTTAATGCCAGCTGCCGTATCTCTATTTTGGCATCCTGTTTTCAGGTTGCTGTAACATTTGGCTGGTGTGCAAAGTACTGAAGAAATCTCATTCTTTGGAATGAATAGTAACTACCTAGGAGGAAAAGGGAGACTAAATTATCTGGATTTTAAGGATATCTAGATATAATACAGTTTTCAGTTGATGGGACTTTAAAATCTTTTAATTCATATTTTAGCAATCTAAAGATTCAAAATCTTTTGAAATAGGTTTACAAGATTTAATTGAGTTCTGCTACTAAATATGCATTTCAGTTAGTTTTTTCTTCCCCAGCAACCTTTCAAGGGCACCATTTTAGGTTGGACAGCAAAGTCTGTTCCTTCCAGTTCATTATGAAACAGATACCTTTTTATTCTGACTGTTGCAAATGTCTTTCATTTCAAGATGAACTAATTAAAGCTATTTTGCTAACAATAAAAAACATTGGCTATGTTTAATAGTGTTGAAGTTCTATGGTTAAAAACAATGAAAGTGTAATGATGATCACTTGAAATCAGATAAATGTGTTGTAACAGCCCTAATTTTAAATGTCAATTTTTTTTTACAGGAGACAGAAGAGATTCTAGCTGATGTACTAAAAGTGGAAGTATTCAGACAGACAATAGCAGACCAGGCACTTGTGGGAAGTTACTGTGCGTTCAGCAACCAAGGAGGATTGGTACACCCTAAGACCTCTATAGAAGACCAGGATGAGCTTTCCTCATTGTTACAAGTACCCCTTGTGGTAAATATTTTTTCTGTTCAAGTCTTGGAGTGTTCAGTTTCTTTATATCATGAACCAAATTACAGAATAGGATTTTAACATCTTATAACTAGATTTTGCATTGGAGATGTACTCATCCAGAGTTTCACCCCTCAATATGCCACTATAGCTTGGCTAATTCAAAACAGGAGATCACTTACTACAGTTGTTTCTAATTGTTTCAATATTTTTCCCTTCGACTTCTTTTTGGATTAGATAATATTGTGTGGTCCTTGCCGCATAAAGAAATAGATAGCAAACCAGTTATTTCCAAATATACATGACTTAGTGAAGCCTAATCCTAAATGAACCATAAAATTAGGAGCAGTGAAGATTTGGATGAACAATTCCAGTGGGAAGACATTGAGAAATATGTCTAGTATAGTTGTGTTAATTGTATGAAATAGCATGTGAAACATCTAGTGGGAATGATGGTAATTGTGGTTCATACATTTTGCTGAGCTATGGTTTATTGTAACCATGATTTGTTTAATAAGCCAGAGTTGCTGGGTTCATAACACCAAGCCATAATGCATGGTTTGGACAATAGTAGAAAACTGCCAGTATGATGACTGTTGAACGTCATGAATATCATGCATGCCTGCTGAAGGTTTGGTCCTCTGATCTATTTAGTTACAAATAGGGTTCATATTCATGCAGCCTTAGGCAGGGATTGCTAATAGTATGCATGAGAAAGAATTTCTTAGGCAACTAGCTATCTTTCTTACCAGGCTGGAACTGTTAATCGTGGCAGTGAGGTAATTGCGGCTGGAATGGTTGTGAATGACTGGTGTGCCTTCTGTGGCCTGGACACAACCAGCACAGAATTATCTGTTATTGAGAGTGTCTTCAAACTCAATGAAGCACAGCCAAGTACCATTGCTACTACTATGAGAGATTCTTTGGTTGACAGGTGAGTCAAACTTTAATCTACTTTCAAAAATTATTAGTGATGGATGGTAGCTGGAATACAACTATACTTATAATGGCTTTCTTCAATAGTCTTAATGTGTTTACAGCCTTCTGTAAATTCCAAGGGATTCAGCACTCTGAGAAGATGTATAGTACAGGTAGACCTCGAGTTACGACTGCAATTGGGACTGGGATTGCTGTCGCTAAGAGATGGTGTCGTAAAGCACGACATCACATGACCGCATCGCTTAACAATGGCAATCCAGGAAGTTCCAGTTGTTGTTATAACCCAAGACATGTGGCTTGTTAAGCAGAAAGCAGAGGGGGTTGCAGGTAAGAAGCAAGGGAGTGCTGCAGGGGGGTGGCAGAAGCCATGCCACATGTGAGTCAGGAGAGGAGGTAGTTGGTGCAGCGTGACCTCAGAAAGGCCAGGGAATGAGGGTCAGGGTACATGCATTCGCAGAGAGGCCAAGGAAAGAGGCATGGGGGGTTGTGTGTGTGCAGTCGCAGGGAGGCTATGGAGAGAGGGCATGGGGTATGTGCATGCATGTCTGCAGTTGCAGTGAAGCCATGGAAAGAGGGTGCAGGGTACATGTGTGTGATCGTAGGGAGGCTATGGAAAGAAGGTGCAGGGTATGTGTGTACGTGTGTGCAAACACAGGGAGGCTGGGGAAAGAGGACACGGGGTGCATGTGAGCGAGGGGGGGAGAAGGGCACGGTGTGTGCAAGCAAAGAAAGGTGGGGAGACTTACCCCAGTAACGTATGAGCTTCCTTGCCCGCTTCCCATTGACTTTGCTTGGGGGAAGCTGGCAGGAAAGGGCGCAAATGGTGATCACATGACCCCAGAACGCTACAACTGGTCATAAGTGCGAGCTGGTTGCCAGGCACCCAAATTTTGTTCATGTGACTGCGGGGGCATTGCAGCAGCTGGAACTTCAAGGACCGGGCATAAGTCCCTTCGTTCAGCACCATCATAACTTCAAACGGTCACTGAACAAATAGTCATAACTTGAAGACTACCTGTACCACTTTCTCATTAATAAACATGCAGATGTGTTTCCCTTCTTCCACCTGCTTGGATCTGCTCCCCGTAAGATCACATTGTGCTTAATCACTGACTTTTAGGAAGGTGAAAAGGTAATGAGGAAATGGCATTTACACGATACATCAGGTTAACTGGGCAGAAATAGTTCAGCATTGTTTATTATTACAGGTAGTCCTTGCTTAATGACCACAGTTGGAACTGACAACTCTGTTGCTAAGCGATGCAGGCACTAAGCAAGATATCATGTGACCATGACTAAACAGGGCAATCAACAGAATGATCATAAGCGAGGACTACCTGTATTGCATTAATAACCTACCATTTCTGTACACAGAATAGTTATCTCCTAACTGTGTGGCTGAAGTTTTTATATACATCTCACGTAGTTTCATTTTGGGGTACTGGTTGTCAATTGGACCTTGTCTGATTTTTAGAGATCAAGCATGAAAGTAAAGCTGGAGCCCTTCAAGTATGTTTTTTTGCTAATAATAATTTCTGTTTCCTTTTATAGCTTGACATAATATGCTCCTTGCCTGCAGAAACACTGCAGGAATGAAATGCCAGATTCTGATCTTGACTGCTCACTGAAGTAAATCCTCTGTTTAGTGTCCCTCCAGTCTAAGAAGGAGATCTCTACCACAATCACTTTTTCAAAACTATATTATTCTAAACTCTCTTTGGCAAGCAAGGTTTGAATAAGAAAAAAAAATCATTATGTCCCTTTATTTTGTTAATGTGTTCTTTTGCTTTCATTTATTCATGAGATGATGTTTAGAACTTATTACGTGCAATAATGAATTAAGCAAAAAAAATTTTTTTTTCACACTATTCACCAGAATGCTGCCTGAAGAATGCTATCTTTTCTGTTCAAAAGTGATTGGTGTTTGTGTTGTTTCAGTCTGGAACTTTTCAAGATAGCTTTCACATAGCCAGTAAGACCAGATTAACATAGCTAGATCCTCATGTTAACTATCATGGATCATTCTATATCCAGAAAATAATTTAAGGGGCTGAAAGAAACTATGGAACATTTCAGTAAAGCCAAGTATTCAATAAAGAATTTATGTTTTCTAGGAGGGGAATGGTCATGGAATCTTGTTTGTCCATATGTGAAGTCACTGAAAAGCCAAAGAGTATTTGTTGTTTAATGGAAAGTCTTTTTCTGTCAGAGGAAATAATAGACTTAAATTGAAAGGTATTTTTTCTGATAGTTGCCTTCATGCTTATCTTTTAATATCAGGATATATTGCTCCTATGTCTTAAAGCCACAGTTACAATGTTTGTTGTGCACAAAAATAGGAGTTCTTGCAGTTAGTTTATTTGGAATTGGGGAGATTTTATGATAGCAACACAGTCAAGTTAAAGCTTTAATAAACTTTAATCCTTGAAATAATTGGTATAGACTTTGAGTTAGACTTGAAATAGCAAGAGCTGTATCAAATTGAAGTCTGGGTAGGTTTCATTGTACGTAACCCTGGGAATGTCTGCACTTTTAAGTGGGAATATATAGGGTCAGACATTATTTCTATCATTTGGCACTTGTGGAATATACATAGAAAGCTATGCCAGTAAACTGAGAAGTTGATATTTTTGTTATGGTAGTAAACAGAAATAAACTTCATTGCAGTAAATACAGTGAACTTGCATCTTAGAAACTGACAGATTTCCTGGACCATTAATGAGATAATCAGCCTTCCAATGGATTTTAAAGAGTTTAATGATGTGGTACAGACAGACATTTATTTTAGAATGAATTAGACAAAATTGTAGCCCTTTGGAAAAGATAACAGATACTTTCAATAAATGTATTGGTCTTTGATCTCATGAGTATTTGATTTGTATTACAGCAGGGGTGCACAACTTTTTTTTGACTCAACAGCTGAATCTGGTTTGTGTGACATGCCAAGGTGCATATTCTTATTGAGTTCAGGCTTCCATTGTTCAAGGTGGTTTTTTTTCTCCAGTGTTTTTAATGGTGCCCTAAACCTCTGCAAGTCTTAAAGCATCCATTTTGTTCCCTCAGTCCCTCTCCATAAAAATAAGATAGGCTAAGTACTTGGCCCATCCACTCTGGGTGCTTGTGAAAGGGGTAATGGCAGTACTTTTGCCAATCAACTTAGATGCTGTATTATAGTATAGCTGTGGTTATACCACATAATCAGATTAGGAACTAATCAAGCTATTGTACCAAACTTTAATCTGGGCCCAAAAACTAATAATACAAGGGAAAATAATACAAGATCATTGATAGAATAATATTGAAGAAAAGTTTAGCTGCTAGTTCAGGACATATATGCAAGGAGGCCTTTTCATATCAGTGCTGAAGTCAGAAAATGCCTGTTAAATCCTACTTGATCCAAAGGAGACAAATGCTGAAACAATCTAAACAGAGTTCATACTATAAACCAAGCATGAGCATAGTACACAGAGTATTACTTTATTTGATGTAAGGCTTCAGACTAAGTGTATCCATTTCTAGAAATTACAGCAATAGTTCTCAACACACCTGGATTCTGAAAGTGGGAGATGTGACCTCTCAGTGCTATCCTAGCCACCATGAAAACACTTGATAACACTACTCCCAATATCAAAGGAGAGAGAGGAAGTACAGACCCTTGATCTCCAAGCAATATCAGATCAGCATAAATTTGCATTAACCAACAGTGTAGTTTAATAGCTTTGCATTAAACCCAATGGGAGGATTTAAAAAAAAAAATCAAGCTGAGAAAGGAGGAAAACAACAGAAACACAGTTCTAGTAACCCTACTAGTTTGAGCCTGGTGAACTTTGGAATCTTTGGCTTCTCAGTGACCAAATTCAATCCCACCCACTTTATAAATTGTTTAAAGAAATAACAGTTAAGCTGGTTCTTAATTTTCTATGAAGAATTTTCTATGGTTTTTTCTAAGTCTCAACTGGCTTAATTCCAAAGTAGAAGCTATGTTTAGATCAGTTCATTCAAGTCTAGAAATGTATTGAAAGATTGCTTGATAACATGTGGGTACAGTAAGATCATTATAAACAATCAAGCATAAAACCAAGATTCACATTTGCAACATAAATAGATGTTACTCTGCCCAAATCTTTAAAAGGTCTTTGCAACAGTGCAGTTAAGTGGCTTAAAACCTTGACTGTTAGGACTGAAAATGCATATGTGCTATCAACTTGTCTTTCACTGTCATATTGTGCATGAGTTGATGATGTGCTCATAGCTCATTTTGGTACATAATATTAATAGCACAGTACTACCACATCCATTCTATACTGCATTTCATGTTGAATGCACAAAAAGTTTATTGTAGCCCATGGCTAAAAGTCAACATGCTCTAAAAACCATGGATTCTGAGATGCCTTTTAATCTGTATCATTAAAGAAGTGCTTTACAATCCTATAGTGTGGCTTTACTGGACTTTCAGAATATCAAAAGTATAAAATATATTTCATTTAAAATTGTGCATGACTTCTTTCTTAAATTAGTATGTTCTCAGTTACAACATAAATATAAACTAGTATAACATTTACTAATTCCAGTGTTTCCAGGGGTTGAGACAGAATTATCTATTTCAAAAAGAAACTAGCTCTCTGCTCTGGGGTTGTTGTTGTTTTTTCCCCTTGTAATAATTATGTGGGAAATAGTTTGAGTGTTTAATCTTTACCATAGTCATCTGTTTTCTTTAACTTTTCTTTTGAATCATTTTCAATCATTTTCCCTAGCTGGGCCTTGTGTCTGAGCCCAGCTGAAAAAAGATAGCTTGGAGTGGATTTACAGAATAGAATCAGTGAGAATTTGGAAAAGCTGCACCTTTCCATCCTTTATGTTGTTATTGCCTAGTAGAACCATTGAAAGCAACGGATTTGTATTGATTAAAAAATTGCCACTTTGATTTCAGTGGATCTGCTTAGAGAATCACAAAATCTGGAAACAACCCTCACTCTGCTAATGGACTGTATATTCCCATTCTCTTGACAGAATTGGCATTGTATAGCCATTATCTAGTTCAACTTTTCTTGCAGGAGCGAGAACGATCTTCTGAGGAGAGGACCATAGTACCTTCCATGTGTGGGAAGTCTGCTCACATAAATCGTTATGTCACTTGGGGAGATTCCCATAATCCATAACATAGTCCATTCAGCATTCCTTTGGAAGAGGCAGGGTTTTTAGGAAGAGAAAGCAGCAAAAATATTACTTTTTGTCCATACTCTTTCATGGATTGGATCCAACACACCCATGTTTACAATTGCCTTTTTAAGGGGCATGCACAAAACAGAAAATATTTTGTACTGAACCTGAAACTGCCTCATAAGTTCTGCCAAACCTTTGTGAGTGGCTGCAGTTGTCAGAACTGAAACCAGCAATTTTATGGTTCTGGGTTTTGGCTGAGACAAAATCCAGAGGGGGCCTACTGGAAGAGTAAACAGGGGAAGGCTGATGTGCCTGCTCTTCTTTCCCATCCTCTTCCACTTGGCTTATGTGCCGTCCTAGCCATTGAACTCAGCACCTTCCTTTTCTTACTTCCCTTATGCTGTGCTTGAAACTCTGGACATTGGCTGCAACAGCTATGGTGAGGTAGGGGAAGGCAGGCCATGGGAAGATTGGGGGTGGGCAGGCTTCAGGTGAAGCCAAGGAGGTTGATAGGCAAGGCCCTATCAAACCCTAATCTTCTGAAGGCCTTTCTCAATCTCCCCTTAATCATGTTTTGCACCCCTTATTCTCCTATTTAAATATACTGATGCCAGTAAACAGTGACTTATTTACACTGCCAAATTTTAAAATTACAAGCTTTAAAATAACTTAAAACATTAATTTCCTGATTTATGTCACCCCTTCCATCATTGCAAACCAAAATTCCCATTGCAAACTTGCCCACACATTTTACTATTCTAATGCATATGTGATTTATTTTCACTTATATAAATGGCTGAAAATATCATGGAGCATACATTTCATCTTATAATGGTAACAATTTATTGTTGCCAACTTAAAATAGTGGTAATATGACATTTAAATATTTATTACATGACAAGTTATTAAAAACAAGATCATTAAGGTCTGCATTCACATCATTAGTGTTTATAAATTCAATTTCTTAGTCTTGCAGACTAGTTGAATTCAGAAATTTCATTTCTGTTAGTTTTGGTGATCTGAAATGACTTTAGAGCTGTTTGAAGTTGTGGTCTACACAAAATTACCTCCTAAGAGCTCTTTGTGTCTGTTGTTGAAGAGTGGAGACATTACCATGAATGTACAAAACATCTGACCAGCAGGTATTGGAAAAAATGGTATTCAGGTAATTGCCTGGATCCTGTAATAAATTAAAATCTTTCAGAATGACTAAGCCTCAGAATGTCCTCTTCAAAAGGTACTGAAATGTTCCTTTTGTGGCCCACAGAACTGTCCTTTTTTTATGAGGCAAGTGTAGAAAAAAAGACTCAATAGGTGGTTGGCTACACTGGCAAATGCTGGGTTTAAAAGAGGGCACTGAAGAAGATTGCTCAAGTGAATTGAAAAAAGGTTGAAGCAAACTCCTCTTGAGGTCTCCCAACACTCACTGAGTGGGTTGGTCAAATATGTCACACTAAGACACACGGCACTGAGGCAGTCAGAAGGAAAGCGGCTCTACAGTGCAAGGCCACCTGGGTTTAGTTGATTTTTGTTTTTGTTTTCAATCCCAGAATTCTCTGACTCATTTACGCCTCTTGAAGAAGTTGTTTGGCAGGCTATCCATCAAACCACCTTCTAATGTCTGCAGCCCATCATCATCATCATCTCATGAACCAAATGAGCTACTGAACTTGTCATACCCATTCCTGCACAGGTCTTCTGTAGTATGTCACACTTTGCTGAACCTCTTTATTTTTGAACTGGAAGATTGTGTATACCAAGACAAGGATACACAGAGATAAAATGCAGGGGATCACAACTGCAATTGCATTAACGGTGCTAGGCACATCATTTATAGTTACCATAATATCAACATCATCATGAGAGAGGCGTCGGTCTTTGCTTCGTTCAACTTCCTTCTGGTTGCAACCCATCCAGTCTTTGAGAATTGACCTAGGGTACCCTGGCTCCACAGTCAGCCTCTGGTTATCAAACTTCCAGTATTCCTTACCTTTATAAAAGTAAGTATAAACTGAAAAAGAAAGCAGAAATTACTCCTTTCACGACTACTAGAATCATAGAGCTGGAATCAGTCATTTAGGCCATTGTGTATAGGAATCCAAATTAAAGTTTCTCAGACAAATTGCTGTCCAGAACTGGACACAGTTTTGAAGTGGGGCCCACCCAAAGCAGAACAGAGTGGAATGATTACTTCTTATGATTTGGAAATTGCGTTTCTTTGATACAGCCTAGCATTTGTCTTCTTTGCAAGCCACATTATACTGCTGGTTCATATTCAGTCTGCAATCAACTATAATTCCAAGATCTTTTTTGGAAGTATTGTTAGCAAGGCAGGTATCCCTCATCCTATACATCTGCATCTGATTTTTCCTTCCTAAGTGAAGAACTTGTCTTTTTAACTTTAACTTTTTAACTTTATTTTTACTTTCAGCCCATTTCTCAAATTTATCAGCATAATCTTAAATTTTATTTCTGTCCTCTAGACGATTAGCTACTGCAGTCAATACTGTATCATCTGCAAATCTGATAAGCATTTTCTCATGTCTTCAACCAAATAATTAATAAAATATTGAAAAGTAGAGGACCCCAAACTGATTCTTGTGACACCCCACTCAATACATCTCTCCAACTCCAAATTATTCCTGAGCACTCTCTGAATACAAATTTGAACACAGTTTGGAACACAATACAGTTTTCAACTCCAATTAATTGTCCTACAATTCAGCCCATACTTAACTAGCTTGTCACATTAATCAGCATGTCATGGAGTACTTCGTCAAATGCTTTGCTGCAGTCAGGGTATAGAAAGTCTGCATACTAAGGAGTGGAGATAAAACAGAAAACTCTGTATATGGCAAGATTAGCCATACTTCAGAAGAAAGAGTAAAAAGAAACAATTATTTAGGTTTTCCTACATAAAGAAAATTACATTTGCTTCATTTGCATGAGAAAGAACTTGGGAAATGAGGATAGGAATAAGCATCCATTTATTAAGGTCAGAGGAAAGCTCACTGATGAAATCAATCGAACTTCTAGCTGAAATACAGGATTCAATGAAGCAGAAGCCTAGCCAAATTTTCCAGGAACAGAATATGTACTGCCTAGGCAGGTATCTGCTTATTAGCATGTGTCCCTGCACTCTTATGACTGCTCAGTCATGGCAATCCAAGTGCTTTGCTTAGCAAAAAAATCAGACATGAAATGCTACTGAAACAGATGCCACGCGTTCATACTCACAGCCTTCTTTGCTGACAAAAGCCCCTTGTGGAGCTTGTGGAATCCCTTTCCACACCGTGATTGGCTTGGGGTAGCCTGGATCTGTGGCTCTCTTGTCTTCATTGTACCTCCAGTATCTATCTCCTTTGAAGAAATAGGTTTTACCTACAGGTTCCCACCGTAAAGCTGTGTCAATTCCTTCCCGGGGAAGACAGCTGCCCAACTCCACTAGGCTGTGCGGGTACCCTGGTTCTGCTGTCACTTCCTTAAAAACCCAGTACTTATCTCCTAGATATGAGAAGGGAAAGAACACACATTATACACAATTACTGAGAGCTAATAAAATCATTAACTGGATTTTTTTTGTTGTTTTGATCCTACAGGTTCAGAAAATAGCAGGCAATAATGTTTCACTGATTTCCTTATCTGACTCAAAAGGGTTTTTTGATGGATGAATCACCCAGAGAGCTTAATCTATTGGGCAATATCAAATTGCAGTTGATAAACTGCCTTCCACAAAGTTTACTATATGACTGCAATGTGTTGGAAATTTTAAAGGTTTTCTGGAAAATAATCCACAATTCAGAAAGTTAATGAAAATATGGACTAAAGATGATCTCTCTCTCAGAATTATTATCTAAAGAATAGATTTTTTAAAAAATACTTAACAATAAGGACACTTTGCCTATGCTTCCAGGATTGATAAAAACATCTGAACATCACCAAGTTTTCTAAATAATAATAATGATAACAACAACAACTTATTAAACTTGTATGCCGCCCAACTCTCGACTCTGGGCACGTTGCAATAATCAAACAAAGAAATTACAATAAAATCAATAAAACGTAAAAGATAAAAGATGGCAAGCATGATGAAGCAAGGGGTCTCACTCCCCCTCACCAAAGGCCTGGGTGAAGAGCCAGATCTTCACGGCTCTTCTAAACAACAGTAGAGTTGGGGCCATTCGGATCTCGGGGGGACCTCGTTCCAGAGGGCAGGCACTGCTACAGGGGAAACACTGTCACTTTTTCAGGTAAAACACTATTTACCTCTCAAGTAATCAAATTAAAAATGTAAATTCTATTAAAATGTAGTGTTTGCAGGGGGCTTTTTTAACCAAAAGAATGCATAATGTTTCTAATGTCTTCACATCCTTGCTTTTCACTAATTATTTGAAACAATTCAGAGAATAATTCTCAGGATGTTTCTAGTGGTTCGCACAATCCCTGCTTTTTTCACTTTCAAAACTTGCTTCCATTAATCCTTTTTGTCTCTACCCTGAGAGCACTGCTCAGTTTTGACTCAAAACTAGCCAGAATTTTCTACACAGTTCCACTTTACAGCAGAGCATTTTGGGAATTGAATGCCTTAATTCATGATCTATGCCTTTCCCAATTCAGCATTCTTCCAAATTTTGCAAGGCAACACACACTACTTATTTTTCCCATTACCTTACTCTTTCAAGCTTATCATACTATACAAACAATATTTTAAAAAGGTGGCAGATTGACACCAAACTGACAGCAGTTTCTGGAAAACTGAAGGTTCTCTGAGACATAGCTTAATATAACAAAACAAAGAAAACTAGTTTTAGCCTGAAAAGGCCAGAGAAATACAAACAGAAGCCTTTGACAATACCTTCCTTGATAAATTGTTAGTTATGGGGTTGTTCCTCCAGCAACAATGGTGGAGGAGACTGCAGGTTTAAAGACTTAGCCAATTATGTTTCTCACAGATGTTTATAAAGTATTGCCCAGTTCTGAAATTTTGAAGTTAAAAGGAAACAATATACATATAAATACATGTATTTCTATGATGATAAAATAACATTTTACATATATGTTTTCTTATGTATATGTTTTACAATTATGTTTTAGAGTGATTAACCTTCTATAATCCCCGGAGTGCTCAAAAATCATCAAAGGTGAAAAACTGAATGAAAATGTATTAAGACCAAGTTTTCAATATGTGCTAGCATCTCTTGCTGATTTGATGGATATGCATATATTATGTTAGAACTCTTTGTGTTTACTTGATAAAATGTTTAAAAAATACCTTTAAAGAAAACAAATTTTCCATCAGATCTTTCATAGGCAGCATCAATTTTTGCTGGGAGCCCTTTCCAGAACTGTTCGATTTGCATGGGATAACCCTCTTGCACTCGACTGTTACGGAGACGCCAAAACCAGCGGTCCTAAAAAAGAAAAATTGCCTCCTAGGATTATGCTTCAGATTCCAGGAAGAGGTAACAAAAGAGTGAAGCCAGGTTTTTTACTGTCTTCTTTAAAATAGCACTGTAATACATGTTGCTATCTGAGGCACAGCAGCAGGGTGAGATGCACAGGACCCAAAGCCAATCAAGTTATTTTGGCACAAGTAGAACTTTACTTCCAGAAAAGCAGAGAGGTACTTACATTATCAGGTACTTGGATTATTTCTAATACAAATACCTCTCCCCTTCCCTGGAAGTAAAAGGATTAAGACATGCTTTCTCACTCTATCTAATAATAGAACTAGCTCCTGGCTCCGGTCTTTCCCTCCCCCCACCGATTACTTGATAACATTGATTTCCAAAAGAAAACCATCCCAAATCTTATCCTTCCTTCTTCTATAATCTAAAAATATATCCAAATCAAGCATCAACTAATGCATAAATTTTCTCCCACTCCCATTTATTTTATTTAAAAACATGAAATTCAGAACAGGATATAAGGCAATAAAAGGGTTTACAATATTAAACAATTTAAAAACCTGTATTTGAGACATAAAAAAACCATAAACCATAAAAACACAAAGAAACAACAACACGTTTATAAAAATAGTACTCAAACATTAACAAATGGTTTTTAACTCTCAGTTGTTTCTGAAGAGCCAAGTCGTTTGGGGTAAAGTGGATGAATGACTCGCAGACTGCACAAGTGAGTAGGCCAAAATATTTGCTCATTTTGGGAGATAGTTCAGGATTTGGAGAAATAAAATGGGAGCCTTGCAAGTTCATTTTTCCAATGGGTGTGAAGGTACAAAATGGATACTTAAAACTTCTGCAAGGTTAAAGCACTCACTAATTCCTAAGCACGCCCCCAAGTCCAAAGATTTTGTTTGCCTTCTAGTGACATTTTATTATTAGTCTCCATTCCCTACTCTTGCAGCACTTGGAAAACTCAAAAAATTGAGTGTAACACCCAGGTGCATTCTTTGACCTGGCCTGATGAATAGTTGATCTGAAGAATAGTTGTTACTTGAGTATTGCTCAAGATGGCTGCCATTACCAGAAAAGCACTTCCCAATCCATTGCTTTCCAGGTGTATTAGATGTTCCATATTTTTCCAGACAGTAGGGCTCTTGGCTATACTGGCTTAAAATTTAAAAGATGTAGTTCAACTGATCTGAAGAATCACCAAGTTGGGGAAGGATGCTCTAAGCTGGTGGCTCCATGGGTAACTTCATGAGGCCAGAGAATATGCAGCAGTGCATGCAAGAAAGAACATCCACGCCAGGTGGATGTTAGCTTCAAAAGCTAACACTTGCCCCTTGGACTGAGCCCAGAAATGACACTACTACAATTCAGCTAAAAGTCATAATTTTACCTTTCTCCCCTTCTAGGGTTAGGTTTTTTAAAATGTATCTCTAGTTTACTGTACTAACATCAAATATTGTTTGAATGCAGTAAAAAGAAAAGTGTATGCCTTTTAATGTTAATTCTTTATATAGAGAGGATTTTTAAAAGAACACATTGGAGTGTTCTTAAAAGATTTTAAAAGGACACAGTGGAGACATTAAACATGCAACAATCAGAAATGTTAGCACCTTGGGTTACCATCTCATTCAATGTAGCCACTGGCCATTCTGCTGACATTCTAGATCTGTAATCTTTACTTGAGGACATGACCAATGTTTCTGTCTTGTGGTACACAACCAGCTGCTCGGTTCAAGAGAACATTTTAAAGAAGCAGCAATCACATTCCTTTTCCGCAATTAAACCAATGCAGGGAATCCATTTAGAGACTACAGCTTACTCAGCTTAATGATACATCCTGCTTTGCTCAGCAGATTTACATATTATGATATAGATTCCAGATCTAGAGTACCACTAAAATGTTTGCACTTTTGGATAGGATTAATGCTACTACCTTGTTTTCCCACATCACACAGAAAAATGTGCAAACTTGTTTCTATTTCCGTAAACAATTTGATATGAGAAGCTTTCAGTGGTACTAAACTCATCACATTGTGGTCCTTTGTTCTGTAACAGTGCTAACATTCTGATTTTAAAAAATATTATTTGGTACAAAACATTTTAATAAGAAAATCACTAAAAAGTGAGAAATTATTTTGGAAATAGAGGTTCTTCTGAGGGATATCAGGGATTGGTTCTAGTCCAAATGCCCTCTAACCCATTTCATAAAATTAATACAAAATCATAACATTATTACTTCTCATGTTTGCAGAGCAAAATGTCAAAGGCTATGAAAATACTCGCCTTGCTACAAAACCCATCCTCATGCCCCTGGACATACCTAGGCCCCATTTATGAAATAGAACCACTATCAGTTAGAAGAACTCTTCACATGCACTAGAGTCCCCAAAGGCAGAAAAAGCTGCTAGATCAAAAAAATACTGAAAGCAGAACACAGCATATGCTTGGAAATTTTTTTTAAAAAAATACTTATCCTAGATTAAAAATGGTTTAAGTTATCTAAATATTTGTAAAGGAAACGCATTGTGTCACCTGCTACATTAAAGTATCATAGTCACTTCCTCAGACAAGGAATGCAAACAAATTCACTGTGAGCCATTTATTATTCAATGCAAATGACTTGGTTGACACGCAATTAATTATATGCTCATTCGTAGTATATAGAAGTTAATGAAAACCACACTTACAGAATAGTTCTTCCTACCTTGAAAACAAACATTTCTCCTCTGAACAGAGCCACAGTATTGAAATTTCCATCACATATGTTGGGTTTGCTGCCTGGAGCAGAAGGCCTGTCTCCTAGAGGGGGCCGAGGAGGCCGGGAATGTCTGTCATGTTTTCTTTCTGAAGTAGAATGGATTCTGCGGACAGGAAGGGTTGGTAAAGGTCTGGTGGGTTCCAGTGGTTCAGCAGGTGGACCTAAGCAAAAAGGAAGGGGGAAAACCAAAAAGCAGTTGGAATATTTTCCCCAACACATTAAACACTGTCAGAAAGCCTGAGCATGTCGTTCTAAAGATTTTATCAGAAGATTTCCTTTTACTATAAACTGCAATATAATCTTCAGTGTCCTACAGCAAATTGTACTCATGCTTTTGGGTAATATAATCTACCAACAGTATTGGATTTTTCTACATAAAATGCTTCAGTTATTAGTTTAACTATCAATGGATGCAACCCTTTTATGGTTGCTGTGGAACGTGTTGCAGATCACATGTGGATGAGGCTTGGGAAAAAGTAGCAAAAAAATTAAGGCCCTTTATTATTTTCTTGCAAGCGTGGAGAAAATATTTACTGGGTTATGTGTCACTCCAACGCTCAAGGGACATGTTTATATTTTATTGCTACAACCTGGCAGTGCATTTCCACACTATTGCAAGTTAGAAGTGCCATGGCACTGCAAGCTGTTATTCAATTATAATTTTGGATGGACTGAGGGCACTGAGATGTGGAGATACTAGCAGAGAGATGTGGGCAAGAGTGCTTTGCTTATAGCATACAAAGATAAATTTGTGGTATATCCAGAGTATTATATTTCTTTTGTATTTTTCTTTTTTAACTGAATTCCCAGGTGTTGTATTGCCATGATCTGGGCAGTTCTGTAATTTATCTTCTTCCATGGAATATTTGCAGTTTTATATATTTAAAGTTAGAATGCTTTTTTTAAAACTTCAGCAAAAAGGCAACATATGGTGGAAGAGACCTATCTCTCAAATACACTGGACTGGGCTTATAAAGTGGGTGCCAGGTGGGTGAAGGCTCTCTGGGAGATAAGTGATAGTAACAGAAACTACCAGGCCACTCAGTGTTTCTCAACCTTGACAACTTTAAGATGTGTGGACTTCAACTCCCAGAATTCCCC